AATTACTCGTGATGTTCAGTCAAACAGAATAGGTATTTTGCTTACCTATTCATTGTCATTATTGTTTTCAAAGACAACTAAGTAACTCTTCTATTTATCCCAATTAACTTTAATTGACTGTTTGCAGTGCAGAGGGTCATGCTTAGCATTGGTTGAAAGCTTCCTCCTTCATCTCTGTTGTGCCAAGGGTGCAGCTCTTGTATGACTTAACTCTGGCAAAGCCTGCCAGCATGTATGTATTAGGCAATCCAGTGCTTGGGTTCTGAAATCAGAGAGAACTGGTTTTAGAAGCCCACCCTCATGAGCCAGAATGGCATAGTGTTCAATAGCACGAGCTCTGAAATCAGAATGCCTGAGCCTGATTCCCAATTTCTTCGCTAACTAACTCTGGAAACTGGTCTCTGCCTTGTGATTGTCCCACCTGTCAAAGAGGCATACTAAGAGTATCTTGCTCACAGGTTTGCTGAGGCACAGCTTACGGCAGTAGCTGGCATATGGCAGGTACACTCGTTGCAAAACAAATATAAATCGTATTTGAGAGACCTCAGTCTAGGCAGATCTGAGCTCATGTTCTGGCTCTGGCATTCACTAATTCTGTGACCCTTGGGCAGCACCTATCTTCCTTCTGCTCCATCTGTACAGAAGGTTCGATAGAAAAGCACCTGCCTCATAAGGTTGTTGTGCTAACATATGTGAAATAACTTAATAGGGTCAGACAGGTGGTTACTGCTAAAAGGTATTAACTGTTATTGCCACCATTACAAGTGATGATCTCACAACTCATCCAGTTTTCCTCTTTAACTCAATGTACATCTAATGCACTTCTAATCTTTTCCAGACATCTTTTCTCTGTCTTGACTCCTACCAGACATCTGCAGTAGTATCACTTGTCCAAAGACACAATTCAATCCATGAACTTTTCATGATCCCTGGCTAATCCATGCCTCCTGGGGATTTCCTTGTGGCACTACTGTCTTCCTCCAAACCCACATAATGTATTGCAATATCTTTTATTGTACTAGTCTCTTGCACTCACTTTGCACTTAATTCGATTTAATTCTCTCTGCAAAGTCATGTTTACATTTAAGCCCTTCGGTGAATCCTAGCTGCAAGACTCATTGTTTCCATGTTAACTATTAAAATACTTCCCCAATTTCTGTCTCTGATCCATTTTCTTACATTCTAGATTTATTCATTTTTGCAAAGTGCATCTGAAATAGTATTTCTTTGTTGAACAACCTTCACTGACTATGAAATTCAGTTAAAAATTACCCTGCCTGACAATAAGATTTTCCACATGAAAATCAAATCCAACTTTTCCAGTACTTTTCCTATGCTCCCTGAACATCTTCTGTTCTTTGCTGTTCCTAGTCTTCTTCCAAACTCTTACCTTCACTTTAAATTTGTCATCTCGTGTCAAAATATCATAAGGCTATTTCATATTTGGCTTTCTTCATAAAACATTTTCCTGTCTGTCCCTCCCCACTAAAGCAGGTCACTCTTTAAAATTCCAGTGGTACATTTTGATACTCAGTCACTGTGATGATTGACCTATTCAGAGTCAAGTATAGGTTTTGTCAAAACCACCACTCAATCATTACACATGTCCTAAGGGTAAATGGAGTATAAGTGCCTTATTTACTCCTTTTTTGAATTCTGAGTAGTGACAATTGCAGCGAAATATTTCTAACTCAGTAAAATTTTGGTTGCTATTAAGTTGCTTACACAGATATTGCATCTCTATAGCAACTGCCCTAGGCTTTCAGTTTACCTTCTTGTGCTTCTGCTCTTCCAGTGAACCTGAATGATTGACACGTGACTCCGTTTTTGCTAGCTTTTTATCAGTTACAGTTGACACTGGGTAGGAATATAGAATGTGAAGACTTCACTCATATTTGATTCTACTCATGTTTATTTCTACAAGGTAATAGATAGTTTTAGCGAATAAGTATCTTAATTTTATGTGTGCTATAATACATAAAAATAAAATGTATGTTCCTTGTGAACAAAACCTTGCCTCATTTATTTTTGTACAGATCGGCTATAAAAATATGCACTTCTACTATGCAGCTCGATATTTGATTCAGATAGGAACTCTGAAATCATTTAAATAGTAAATTATTTCGAAATATTATCTAACATTCATACAGTTCCTTTATTTATAGCTGTTGATGGGACAGCTTAAGGCAGTAGTCATTTCATCCAGTATTTAATCGAGTTAAGTTTATATTCAAATATTCTTTAAAGTTGAGCAGGGTCAAGCCAGTGGTGTGGTGGTTAAGGCAGCTCAATCCCATGTGCCTGACTATGCAGTTCAAGTTCTGGACCCAGTATCTTGGAAACTATGTGGAGTATATGTGCGTACATGACCCAAATCCTGAAAAGCGAATGGAGGAGATGGAACTGCACCCTGGCCATCCACTCTGGGGTTGATTTCTCACTTTTCCTCTCTCTTCTGTCTCTCTTCAATAAGTGAAGGTGGACCATACAGCAACACATAAAAGAAAACAAAACTTATCAGATCAAAATTTTAATAATCTATTGTAAAAAAATGCTAGTGATTTTGTTTCTCTTTGCCATTTTGTTCTTTTATATAGTTTTTTATAAACATAAAGTTCACATTTTTTTCCTATTAGAGAAAATTTGCTTACTGACCTATTGTATCCCTTTTTTATTTATTGGCAAACAGTTGGAATAAAAATATAAATAAATAATATAGAGCTGATTTTCCACCAGATAACTATGAGTACTAAAAATTTGCCCTGCAAATTAAAAGACCATTATATTGTTAGAGTTATCTCTGTATTAAAATTACTGCCACATTATTTCAACATGAGTCAGTAAGTTGAATACAAAATAGATCGAGGTATTTACACACTGCAACTTAGTTATTACTTATGTATCCGAAATTTAGATAAAAGTTAATACCTCGGGACCAGCAGATGGTGTAATGGCTATGTCGCTGGACTCCCACATAGTCAACTGCGGTTTGAGTCCTGGACCTGGTGGCTTAAACTCACACTGGGTGCATGTGCATGCATGCCCAAAATCCCAAGAGGAGAATGGAGGAGAAGGGATTGTGGTGTGGCCATCTCCCCTTTCTGTCTGTCTCTCTCTCTCTTTCTGGTGAGCACACGTGCCCTATAGCAAAAATGTCTTAAAAAAAAAAGCTAATGCCTCTTTGCCTTTGGTTTTATGATGTATAATTGACAAATAAAAATTACATATATTTAAGGTACACAATGTGAGGTTTGATGTATATGCCCATTGTGAAATAACTAGCAAAATAAAGCTAATTAACATACCCATCATTTCACATAGTTACCTCTTGTGTATATATGTGTGTGTGGTAAGATCTTAAAAATCAGTTAAGATCTCTCTTAGAAATTATAAGAATATGGGGGGGTCATCAGATAGTGTAGCAGTTACATCACTGGACTCCCACATAGTGGACTGTGGTTTGAATCCTGAACCCAGTGGCTTAAAATTCATGCTGGGCATATGTGCATGTGTGCCCAAAATCTGAAGAGGAAAATGGAGAAGAGATTGTGGGGTGGCCATCCCCTCTGGATGGGTGATTTCTTGCTCTCTGTCTCTCTGTTTCTGTCTCTCTGGCGAGCATACACACCCAAAGCAAAATGCTCCCTATAAAAAAAAGGAAAAGAAAGTTTAAGTATATAATATATACTTGGTATGTATTGTATATATAGTCAGAAGTTGGATTGCTTGATCTTATCATTCTGCTTATAATTTTTGAAGAACCTTTATGCTCTGTCCATAATGACTATACCAATTTTCATTCTGAACAGCGGTGTGCAGGGATTCCTTTTCTCTGCCTTCATACCAACAGTGGTTATCATTTGTCTTTTTTGTTAGTAGTCATTATAACAGATGTAAAGTGATACTTCATTTTGGCTTTTAATTTATTTTCAAGTTAGTGATATCTCAATGATATCTCCTTTTCATATACCTATTGGTCATTGTATGTCTTCTTTGGGAAAGTGTCAATTTACATCCTTTTCTCAGTTTTCAATTGGGATATTTGATTTTTACTGTTGAGGTGTATGGATTTCCTTAGGAATTTTGGATATTAGTCCATATGTATATATAGTTTGCAAATATTTTCTTCTGTTTCATAGATTTCTCTTTTATCTGTTGATTACCCCTCTGAAGTTGAACGTGGGGGGTGTTATGCAGAAACTATTGAGTTTAATGTAGTTCTACTTGTTTATTATTGCTTTTGTTGTCTGTACTTTTGGTATCATATCCACAAAATTGTTGCCAAGACCAACATCAGAGAACATTTACCTTACGTTTTCTCCTAGGACTTTTATGGCTTCAGGTCTTAAAATTAAGTCTTTAATTCATTTAAAGTTGTTTTTTCTGTGTAATGGAAGATAAATATCCAATTTTATTCTTTTACATTTAGATATCCAGCTTTTTCAACACCATTCACCAAAAAAACTTACCTTTTTTCTATTGTTATTCTTGGCACCTTTGCCTAAGATTAGTTGATTCATGTATATGCATGGGTTTATTTCTGGCCTTTTTAGAATATTCAGAAAGGACTAAAATTTCCTAATTAATCTATGATGTATGTAGGTATTTTTCTCTTCATCTAGACTCTGTGTGTGAATCTGTTCATCTTAAATTTTCTGAATTTCAAAGTAATTTGGCTTTTGGAAGAAGTTATTGGATTCGGAGAAGGAGAGATACATTTAGGGAGGGAGAAGTCACTGCATGCCCTTCTGCTGTACAGTCTAACAAGCCTG